GGGCTATAGCTTGTTCTATAGGCTTAATTAGTAGAGTGCTGCTGCTGCTTAAAGACATCATGAGGCAAATGCTGTTTCATTAACTATTTGTACTGAAACTGTTCTCTCCAGCTGGCCAAAAATTGCCATCCTGGTGAAAAAGAGCATGCTTTTATAATTAAGACCCATTTCTGAGATCTCTTCCTACTCTCTCAGAAGATTAAAGGCAGAGAGGAAGCCAAACCCAAATGGAAACTGGAAACTAATTGAGAGAAATTGTGTTTCTGGCAACCTGGAGTAAATGAAGAATGGAAAATTATTTCTGCTGGTGACGGAGGTCATTACGGGCTTACAAGTTTGGAAGAAAACTTAGAAGAGAACCTTGGAGGTATGATCAAGGTGCCAGGTACCCCTGCAACCATGACAGTGCAGAACAACAAAAACATTAAACAGAATGGATGCAAGAACAACATTATTAATTTGGACAGAAACTTGTAGAAATCAACTACATGGCAATGGGAGCAATATGAATAATGCCTGTTTCCAAGCCTAATTGATTTTTGAAAGCTAAAACTTATCACCAGATAAGTTTTATTATCTTCACAGGAGGCGGAAAACAACAATTCTAAGAATATTTTACTGCATAATTTTCTGCCCCATAAATTCTTTAACATTTTGTTTCTGAACCATGAAAATAATAGGTGTCTAATGTGTTTATCATCTTTAATAAAGAGAATCAAAACATGGTTATTAAAACTCATTCTGTTATTTTTGCACTTTTGGTATTGACTAGTGATGTCATAATTTAAATAACTACTTTTACTAGGAATATTTAAGTTTTGCTCCGGGGAATCCTATTTCTTATAGTTCCAGTTATTTCTTGATTATTTCCTATTCCTCAAAGATAGGGTAAATCCATCTACATATTTAATAATGCCACTGAAGCTATCCTCTTAGAATTTTCACAAAAAATATCCTGTCAGAAATGGGTGAAGTGACCCATATAAGGCAAAAATAGTAACTTTCTGTCCTAGCTTTGCATTTTGCTATTTGCAGATTTTTAAAAGAAATCTTAAGACGTTTTTATATGTGTTTATACCTTTGAATGAGCAGAGGTACAACGAAGAAAGCTAATTTTATATCATTTTTAATGTATCTGGAACCAGAATTTCATGAGGCTGTGCTTTTGAGCTAATTTAATTTCTTAGTTTATGGCTTTTAACAGCTTTGTTATATATCTTGAAATGTGACATGGATTCGTGTTTGTAGGTCTTGCCACATACATTTGCAAGGTTAAATTAATGACAACATTTTTCACAATGACTTCTCTGAAATTTTAGAAGCTCTGTTAGGAAATTGTCGTTGCTATCTGCTCCACTTAAGACCCACAGTTATCAGGGATGGCTATGAAATATGATTCTTATGCATGTATTATAGATAACTGCAAAAGATAAAATTCACTATTCAGTGAAAATTAATGCTAAATGCTACATTTCTTTAGTTAATATTTATTTGTTTGTATTTTTCAGATGTGCATTTATTAATTTTAAAAGTACTATCATGATTGCAAATAACTTGGAACAGTACAAGAATTGCATTAAGAAATTAGGATAATCTATGAGAAAACCTTGGGAAATTTGACTCATCCATGGGAGATGAAAATCAGGGGTATCCGAAAGAGTAATATGCAGTAAACATTTGCATATAATACTCATGCTTATACGTAGTTTTTACTGCTGCTAACCAAAGGGATCTGGGTGGTTGCACTTTTAGGACTTAAGTCTTGCTGCCATGGCAAATAAAGCTTTGTCTGGATTTGCTGAATATATTTCAGGGAGATGCCCTTGTTTTGCAGTTAATTGTCAAAGCAAACAGGGCTGCAGTAATTCTCCATCATGTTTACTCCAGTTTTACCAAAACAAGTGAAGTTTTCTGATCTTAGTTGTTATTTAGGAGTTTAGCATATTCTCTGGAAATCCAGAGGGACTTTGACAAGTTTGAGAGGTGGGCTAGTGCAAACCTCATGAAGTTCAATAAGGCCAAATGCACGGGTTTGCACCTGCATCAGGGCAATCCTAAGCACAAACACAGGCTGGTTGGAGAATGGATTGGGAGCAGCCCTGAAGAGAAGGACTTAGGGCTGTTGGCTGGTAAGAAGCTCAACATGAGCTGGCAATGTGCTCTTGTGAAAACCTACCTGGAGTACTGTTTCCAGCTTATGATGGGCCCCCAACATAAGAAGGAGGTGGACCTGCTGGAGAAAACCCAGAGGAGGGCAGTGAAGAGGATCAGAGGGAGGGAGCGCCTCTCCTATGGAGACAGGCTGAGAGAGTTGGTGTTGCTCAGCCTGAATAAGAGAAGACTCCAGAGTGAGCCTTCCAGTATCTAAAAGGAAACTACAAGATATCTGGAGAGGCACCATTTACAGGGGCATGTAGTGATAGGACAAGTGCGAATGGCTTTAAACTGAAAGAAGGTATACTTACATTAGATATTAGGAATTTTTTTACTGTGAGGATGGTGAGGCATTGGAACAGGTTACCCAGACAATGTGGAGACCCCATCCATGGAAGTGCTCAAGCTCAGGTTTGATGGGCTTTGAGCAACCTGGTCTAGTGGAAGGTGTCCCTGCCTAGGGAAAAGCAGAGCACATAAGTGTACGTTCGTGCTACATGAGCACCATGGTTGGGGCTGGAATGCTGCTTTATCATCTGGTGAACTTTGAACTGAAAAAACCCCACAGCCTCCACTCAAGAGAAAATGCAGTGTCCAAGAGACAGACAGACCCCACAGAAGTCCTTGACCAAGGTTTATGACATCTAGCTGATTCCAGGCTGCTCTCTCAACAAGTGTGAGGACAGGCCAGCTGGCCCAAGGACTACTATTCTTTCCCAAATGCATTATCAAAGGATAATCACAGCATATTGCAATTCACCTTGAAAAAGAATTAGAGTAAGCCAGGACAGTGTTTATCGGTTTGTGGCCTCTTTGCCAATTATGCATTGTAGATACCTGGGTGCTTAAACCAGATTACCATTCCCCTATTTTAACTGATATTAAATCAGGGTAAAAACCAGAAAGAAATACATCAAATATTTTTCTAAAGCTACAAGATGGAGCAAGTATTTTGCATGGATGCTATGCACTCATTCTAGGGAGGAATTATGTGACTAAAATAGGAGCACTGTTCATTTACAGTTTGGCATTCAAGTGAGCTGCTGTTTAACAAATACATTTTTTTCTTAATAAAGTTGAGGTTCATTTGATGATTTCCAGTTTAAATGCCAGCACAATTAAGTCCATAGCTGCTAAATAACCAAGCAGAATGCATCCAGCAAATATGCTTGTTCATTGTGAATGGATGTAACACAGCTTGTTATATCACTGAATAGACATTCCCTCAGACACTGCTTCTGGGAGACAGATGCACATTCAAAGGCAGTCAACACCCACTGTCACTCCCTAAAAACTGAGACATCTGGACTGAGTATTTTCTTTTGGGAAAGAAAACACATTGAAGATGACTGGCATCAGTTTAGAGAATGCAATGGAGTGAAGCACTGCCTGAGATTTTTGGGTTTGAGATGAAGAGATGCGATATAAAAATGAACACACAATTTCTCAGTTGGTCTCAAATAAACAGCCTTCAGATGCAAGGAAATTTTTCTGCAGGAAATGGAAACATATCAGTTCTTTATACATTTGAGTAAAAGATTTGGATAATTGGAACAATTGGTTCAGCATACAAGTGTTACTGATTCTCGTGTTGAAGAGTAAACAAGAGATCTATCACATCTTTAGATGACTGAATGTAAGCAAGTATCATGAGAAAGGAATGCATAACTAGTTAATGAAAGTATAACTAATGGAAAATTTTTATCTCTCTTCACGTATACATTCCTTGCTACAGTTGTAAAGGATACCAATTTATTTTAACATACTGTTATTATAAAGGGATTGTATGTAGCCCAAATGTATAGAACTATATATATTAAGAAACAGCCATTTTTCACAGTAAGTTTTTAAATTTTCAGTGTTAAAATAGTGTATCTTCACTTCTTTTTTTATATAAAAGGAAGCAGTTTCTGCAATACAGATTTTTTCTTGTTTTGCATGGAAAAAATTTTAACACATATCTTTTTGTGAGTGTTGCTCATTTTAAGACGTGAATGAATATTTTTCATACTGGGCAACCAGAGTGATTTTTCCTACAGTAGCAAAGGAATGAATGTAAAAAAAAAAATAAATTATTCAGAGACTCAGCCAGGCTCTTATACAAATACAGTTCATTTATACAACAGCAGAGCTAGCTAGAAAATAAAAAGAGGAGGGAAGTCTTTGTTGGAGTAACACAGAAAAAGAACTCACTAATCCTCCTGTTTTTTACACTGACACAACTCTTCCAAAAATCTATGGGGGTCTACCAGTCTAGCAAAGGTGGAAATGTCACTCATTATAAACAAAATCTGTTTAGATATTGGCAGATCTCAGGGGGAGAAAAATCCCTGTGGATTTTTATTATTCTGAACAATGAATAGTTAGATACTACCCAGTGTTCTCCATAAAGAATAAAAATTGTCCAGGATTACTGTTTTTTTTTTATATAGTCTTACACTTAAATTAACAACAACAACAACAAAAGAAAATCTCACAGAAGAAGGGAATAAAACAACATTACAGCTGGTGTCTAAATCGGGCTTTCTACAGGTCAGGTTGTGCAGTAAGCCTGATCATGAACACTATTCAGCAAATGAAAATATATTATGAAATTAGGCAAATAAGTAATTTTTTTACTATTAAAACAGAAATTAAGAATAAACCAGAAAGTTTTTCCAAACACAGGAAAAACTGTATCCGGCATATGTATCTATATTTTTAGATTGTTTTACCAAAGAGCAATATATACCAGAAGAAAACATTCAGAATATTTACAGAATGCAGAGAAAATTCCTAGTGACTTGCTGATTCCCATTTCTTTAATGGAGAAAGAGGAGAGAGAGACAAAGATGTTTTTGTCATACCTTTCTGGAGGCATAATCTGGTAAAATACTTGCACCATCTTGAAAACTGAGGCTGCTTACTCCTTAGCAGAATGAAAATTACTGTCCTAGATGAGAAAGATGATGCACTTGCATATTCAGGTAACAGGTGATATGGCAAAACTTCAGGGAGAAAAATAGCCAGGAGACATCTAACAAAAAAAAAAAAAAAAAAAGGGAGAGCCTGGTGTAATTTTTTTAATTGGTTATAACATTCACTTTGGGGAGATGCAGAAGCAGCTGTACTTTATCAAGGTTTAATTCTCCTCTCCCTTACACACAATTTACATTGCTTTGATTAATTTTATTTCTGTGTTTTTCAATCTATGTTTATGTAAAAAAGGAAAGATACCCAGTTTATACTCTGTCTTAATGATTCTGTCTCTGTCACCAAGCTAAGCAGAAAAATGAGCTAAAATGGTTACTTTGGGTTTCATTCTTGGAGATTTTCAGTGGGGAGCTCTTCCTGGAAATTACTTACTAGACAGGTCTGAGACATAGTTGTCTACCCAAACCATCACAGCATTTCACAAGCTTCTTAGTGTCATCTATCTTCCCAAATACAAAATGCATGAAGCCAGTCATGAAAACTACTGCAGTAAGATTTGATCTTTCTCCCATTAATGGCACAGTTTTTCTACCATTTCTAAAGAAATAATTTCAAAAACTGTGACAAGTAGTCTTATTTTATTATACAGTATTATGGTAGTTAGCAACCTGAATTGTGCTATGATCTAGTGGCACGTAGTAGGCTTTCATAATCTGCAAGTATAGCTAATCCTGGAAACCACATGAGCTGTGACTGCAAGGACTGAACAGCCTGTGCACTTGGCATTGCTTCTACTCTATTTTTTTCACACTCTATTTCTCATTGAGAAAACAAACAAGCAAACAAGAATTTTCTGTCCATAACATAATAAAAATGCTTGTACAAGCTCAAGCAGCAAGATAAGCTGATTATTTTGCCTTTTAGTTCTAGTGTCAGCTTGTTTTCAGCTGCTATCAAACACTGTCACACCAGATGCCCATTATATCTGTTACATGGCAAAACTGTTTCAGTACATAAAAGACAAAGTGCGTGATTTTCTCAATTCTCTCTGAAATCACCAAAGAACTATTCATGATAGCCGTTTGCTTACACCCACTGCAGTTCACTTTAAAGTTCTTTTCAAGTTCCCTTTATCATCTTATTCTCTCATGCTCATGTATGTGCATTTCAAAGTTATGACAAGTAACAAATCTTTAAGTTATGTGGGCTTTTTTTTCATGATCGCTTTTGCTTGGTCATTTTTCTAAGTAAATTTACTCTGATGACTAAAAATTGCAATGGTGTCCTTAATGTTGTATACTCATGATACAAATAAAACCATATTCCTTTATTCATTTTTTGTGTATTTCTTTACCTCTTAGGATGCCTATTTCAAAGTTTCCTTAAATACAAATACTGAATGCAAGCGAGCAGATGACCTCAATAGAGACACTATTTGCTTTGCAAAAGGACTCTTCTACTTAATGGTAAAATAATTTCTTCCAGATTCTTCTTTGCCAAGCCACTAACCTAACTCTTAGTTTTACTCTGTAGATATGGTTGAAAGTCATTAAAATTTTATTTAGCCAAGTATGCAATACTCTACCTGTACTCACTATCACTTCTGTCAGCTATAGGAACTTTTTAAAAACCTGTTTCAATAAAATCTATAGTTTATATTGGCTAGAAAGTATTTCTAGATATGCAAGTATGTTTTTCAAGCTACAGACTCAATATGGCCTTTTATTTACCAGTGTAAAGAAATGGCATCCAGCTGAGACAATTCCATGCTAGGCTGGAGTGTACATGGCTGAGTGAGCAGTATCATGCCCTCACCTAGGCTGCTGTGGAAGAAGGGGAAAAAAGGGAGTTTTACGCCTTTTGTTCTGTCAGTGGAATTTAAAGGAAAATGCATGCTTTAGCCAGTGACCAAGCAAGCAGCCAAACATGATGCTGGCCACAGACAAGATGACCTGTTCATTTGGCTGCAGATGCAAAACTCTTTGAAACAGCTGTATCATGGCGCAGCATTTGATGGTTTGCTTAAACACAATAAGCAAAGGCCCTCACACGTTAGAAAACAGACAAACCAAACACATGCAAATGCAATGATATCCATTGCCATTTATCAATTGTCACTTTGGCAGGTCACAGCAGCATGGAAGGGAGCCATCAGTTGAAATCCTCTATTACAGACTGGAAAAGTGACCTGTTTTTTTTTTCTTCCAAATATATCCATAAAGGAATTTTTTTCTAAGTATAACAGGAATACAGGGGCATCCAACACAGAAAATAAACTGCTATCCGATGATCATTTATTTATTCTTATGTATGGACACTCCTTCAATAGAGCCGCTGTTACTAGGTATTCACAAATGTGAATGTCATGACTATTTTGAGCTGTTACTAGGTATTCACAAATGTGAATGTCATGACTATTTTGAGCTGCTTTAACTGAATGCATATTTTGCAAGACAGAAAAGAGTTTTCTGATTGTCTTAATTTCATTTAGCTTGACCAATTATTTCAATCTGAAAAGGAGACAAAAATCCTGAAATACAATCTTAAAAGAGTTCACCTGAGGCTTTTTTAGTAAAATATATATTCCACTTCTGAAATATGAAGACAGCATAGAAATTTTCTCCAAGGTAAGATTAATACAATGCAGAGTGTCAGAATAAACTCTTAATTCCATTTAAACAGTAGGGAGACCTTTGGCTGACTCTACCAAGAAGTAAATTTCTTCCTAGATACAGATACCAGTTACTTTATGAAATAGGGTATTGGTCTTTTTTTCAGAAGCCCCAGAGGCACATTTAAACACAGGTGAATTCAGAGGAGAACTATCATTACGAAAACTAATGTTGTGTTGTTTCTTTCAGGCCAAATGACAAGCTGAATAATTTCATTAAACCTGCTTCTACAGATTTTCCCTGGTAAATTCATACAATAACAGCATTGTGTGTGTGTGTGTGGGGGGGTGTGGTGTGGTGCTAATTCTTGCATTTCAGTCATCAATTACTAAAATTGCTAAATTTTCCATTACATGTTTGCATAGCTAAGGGGTTAACTGATGTGCAGTTAAAACAAGCCAGTTCAGAATGCTTTGACTTTCTCTTATATTCAGTCTGTACACTGTTCCAAATGATAACACTTATTCCAAGCATAATACACAGACTGGGTAGAAGCAGGGCTTTTTTTTTGTAAGCAGAGTTCAGGCTTTCGGAGGGAACTGCTTCCATGGGGGTTCTATTTCCTCTGTTGACCTTGTATGGGAGTATGACCTGGTTTTATTTGGATGAAATGTTCCTGAATTCTGCAATTTGAAATACCCACAGAAAGGTTAGCTAAACAACTTTAATCTTTGATAGTAAGAATGTAGAAATATATCAAATATATACTAACGGACATAAACATAAGATGACTGGGTCATAAAATTGACCTTGGCATATTGTATCCTCTGGACGAGAAATACAGCTTGACTATAATAGAATGTAATGTAATTTACTTCCTATATATTGTAGTGATCAACTAGTTGCAGCAATACTAATTACATGCAGAAATGTTGCTAATAAATTGAAAGCAGTTTCATTAAAATGCAAAATGTGGTTTATTTTTATTAGCAGACAAAAAATAGACACTAAAAATTGAAGTGTTTTAATATGAAGTAGGGAAGGCTCCGTATTTCACCTTACTTAAAAATAATCAGTCTTTCTTTTGCCGTTTTCTTCTAAAATAAGAAACAAGTATGAACTAACTTAAACAGGCTTTCACTAAAGAAAAAGTGGCACATAAGAATTACTTACATTCTCTAGTTCTCATATTACTCTTGCAAAAATTGAATTTTTCCAGAGTACCTTTATTCCTAAAGAAAAAAAAAAAATGGAAATAAAAATAATGGAAAAAAAATTGCTGTGTATCTCTTATGCTCAATCCCAAATCCATGTAATTTTGCAAGTGTTCTGCAAAGTTTGGATTTACTGGGCTATCTAGTTACTATTGGTTACCATAAAGCTAAACAAAATCCTACACAACTTCAGATCACAGGGTTACACAATGTTATCTACCTTCCCTTGTGTTGTCTTTTCTCCCAAGTCTACCTTTGATCTGTACCATATATCGGGGTTCATAAAAATGATCATTCTTTTCAGAATGCTTTTATGTGCCATATTCACAGTTATTCTGAACTGCTTTCAAGGCTGTTTGGGGAACTGCAAATGGATGTTTCAAATGCAAGTAAATGATGCAGTGAAATCATATCAAGGTTCCTGAGCTACAGGTGGAAAGGAGTGTCTAAATCCTACCCCTACGCAGCATGTGGAGAGGTGGTGACAGCAAGTTTAGTGTGCATAGCAGGTTTATGGAAGTTGCTGCTTGAGCAGATCACAAGTGGTGTACTGATATTTTTAAGCTTTGCTCAGAACATGCATACCAAAAATCCATTTGGAGATGCAGTTGGGAGATCAAACTGATCGCTAGTTACGTCTTCAGCTGAATTCCCCCTAAGTAATAGACATGACACCAGCAGGCCTCATGAGCTAGCCAAATGCTAGTACACCTTTTAAATACCATCTGGCAAAACCAGTCTGCAATAAGAGCAATATCATAGAATCATAGAACAGTTAGGGTTGGAAAGGACCTTAAGATCATCTAGATGCAAGCCCCCTGCCATGGGCAGGGACACCTCACACTAAACCATATCACCCAAGGCTCTGTCCAACCTGGACTTGAACACCGACAGGGATGGAGCATTCACAGCTTCCCTGGGCAACCTATTCCAGTGCCTCACAACCCTAACAGGAAAGAATTTCCTCCTTATATCCAATCTAAACTTCCCCTGTTTAAGTTTTAACCCGTTACCCCATGTCCTATCGCTACAGTCCCTGATGAAGAGTCCTTCTCCAGCATCCCTATAGGCCCCCTTCAGATACTGGAAGGCTGCTATGAGGTCCCCACACAGCCTTCTCTTCTCCAGCCTGAACAGCCCCAACTTTCTCAGCCTGTCTTCATATGGGTGGTGCTCCAGTCCCCTGATCATCCTCATGGCCCTTCTCTGGACTTGTTCCAACAGTTCCATGTCCTTTTTATGTTGAGGACACCAGAACTGCACACAATACTCCAGGTGAGG